TCCCGCCAGAGCGGTACCTATTTATCTGCTTGCACTTTGACGTGCTTTCGAACTGCTAGGTTGGCAGGAGCAGGGACCGAGCAACGGGAGTTCACCCCGTTGCGGGGATTCGAACCGCCGACCTTCTGATCGGCAAGTCCTAGGTTCAACATCAACTATCCTATAATTCAGAGAGAGACAGAGAGAGAGAGAGAGAGAGGGAGAGAGGGATGCCAGCCTGCTGTCCTACTCACTATCTGCCATGATCTCGGCCCAATTGGCAGGGCGCAAATCATGGCATCACCAAGGCAACGTCATTTCCCATGCAGGCAGGAGACCTGCAGCCTCCCCGCTGAGGAGCGCCACACCTCAGCTTCCCCCACCATTCCATCCATTCCCCCTTGTGATGCGGTGTGATGTCATAGGTGTGACGTCACAGATCAGGCGCTGGGCCCCTGCTCTCCCTTCCAAGGGGGCGCTTTGGAACCGTCACAACCGCAAAGCAAAGGGTAGTTAACCCACAGGGCTTGGAACGGCACCATTTCCAGAAGACCAGTCTGTCTTGGGGCCACCTGTTTATTCAGCGTTTCGAAGACAGGCAGAATGCAGACTTATTTTGCCTGCTTCTGTCTTCCCTCAGCTGCCAAAAACGCCGTTGCTTTGTTCGGCCAGGCTGAAACTGCCCCGGGGGCAAGGAACTACAGTGGTACCTCGGGTTAAGAACTTAATTCATTCTGGTGGTCCGTTCTTAACCCGAGGTACCACTTTAGCTAATGGGGCCTCCCGCTGCTGCCACACGATTTCTGTTCTCATCCTGAAGCAAAGTTCTTAACCCGAGGTAATATTTCTGGGTTAGCGGAGTCTGTAACCTGAAGCGTCTGTAACCCGAGGTACCACTGTACTTGCATAAATTTCTTCTGTGGGGAGCATTTAAGTGTCAAAATCCCCCATATTTTGGATTAGCAAAACGCCCACCAAATGAACCACATGTATGTTATGTTAGACAAAGAGGAACTCAACTCTTGCTTCCATGGTTCAAAATCCCATGGGGCATTCAGTCTCCCAATGCCTTCTTTCCCAAAAGCAGGAATCAAAAGGAAATTCCTTGGGTATATTTTTCTTGTCCCAGTTCCCCATCCCATAGGAGCTAGAGGTCCTCTACATGCTAAAGCTGCTTTCCCGGAATCAGTTGATACACAGGATGAGACCCTCCCTGCCTGTGGACTGTCTTGCCAGAGTGGTGCATGCTCTGGTTATCTCCCGCTTGGACTACTGCCGTGCGCTCCACGTGGGGCTACCTTTGAAGGTGACCCAGAAATGACAACTAATCCAGAATGCGGCAGCTAGACTGGTGACTTGGGAGCGGCCGCCGAGACCATATAACACCGGTCCTGAAAGACCTACATTGGCTCCCAGGATGTTTCTGAGCACAATTCAAAGTTTTGGTGCTGACCTTGAAAGCCCTAAACTGCCTTGGCCCAGTATATCTGAAGGAGCGTCTCCACCCCCATCGTCCAGCCCGGACACTGAGGTCCAGCTCCGTGGGCCTTCTGGCTGTTCCCTCCCTGCGAGAAGCGAGGTTATAGGGAACCAGGCAGAGGGCCTTCTCGGTGGTGGCGCCTGCCCTGTGGAACGTCCTCCCATCAGATGTCAAGGAAATAAACAGCCACCTGGCTTTTAGAAGGCATTTTAATGATTGATGCTTTATCGTGTTTTTAATATTCTGTTGGGAGCCGCCCAGAATGCCTGGGGAGGCCCGGCCTTATTATTATTGAATTATCACTATTATTAATGACTGTGATAGGTTACATCACCATGGGTAAAACAACTCAAATGGAAGAATTCAGTAGACCAGCACTTCTTATGCTATGGTCTATGGGTGTCTGTAATCTGGGCAAATCCCCACCACAATGCAATAAAATAAACAGTATGCAAAAATGTTGTGTATTTACGCCCATTGCTTTGGTGAGGGTGGGGTCGCTCGCTTTCATCAGATTCCCAAAGGGGTCAGTGTCCTTAAAAAGGTTAAGAGTCACGGAATAAGAGATTTTTATGGGGGGTGGGGTTTTTGTCCCAGTGCATTATGGACAATTCTGTATCTCAGGCCTCCTGAGTTCAGTGGTACCTCGGGTTAAGTACTTAATTTGTTCCGGAGGTCCGTTCTTAACCTGAAACTGTTCTTAACCCAAAGCACCACTTAGCTAATGGGGCCTCCTGCTGCCGCCGCGCCACAGAGCACGATTTCTGTTCTCATCCTGAAGCAAAGTTCTTAACCTGAAGCACTATTTCTGGGTTAGCAGAGTCTGTAACCTGAAGCGTCTGTAACCTGAAGCGTCTGTAACCTGAGGTACCACTGTACTGCACTCCTCAGCAGCTGTGCTCCACACACATGGGATGGGAAGAAACTCAATACTATCCCATATTTCAAGTTCACACTTACCCCAAACTGAAACGCAGACCTCTTTCAAAACTCACACTTCTCTGAATTTTGCAATGCCGTTCTCCAGACATATACCTCTGGTTACAAACTTAATTCGTTCCGGAATCCGTTCTTAACCTGAGGTACCACTTTAGCTAATGGGGCCTCCCGCTGCCGCCGCTGCGTGATTTCTGTTCTCATTCTGGGCCAAAGTTCTTAACCTGAGATACTACATCCGGGTTAGCGGAATCCATAACCTGAAGTGTTTGTAACCCGAGGTACCACTGTTATGTGTTGCAATATACCGTACTAGGGTCAAGTATGCATAAAAATGCATATGAGCGAAAACGACATTTAAGAAGGCATCCATTTTATACCCGTGAGCCCTGCTTTGCACAGAATGTGCATGTTAGGCAGAACTGCGTACAAAAGCGTGAAAGTTGGGAGAAATGCGCCAACGAACTTTCAGGAGGACCTTAACGGAAAGATCCACAAAACTGAAGTGGAAACTGCAAACTGAAGGTTGGGGAAATTTCAACCAGAAACCCAAATGGGTGAATTCACACGCCCCAGTGAGTTGTTTTCGACTGCTGGGAATGTGCTCCTGAACTCTTGAGAACGCACCTTGCTTAACTTGGATGGAGGCGTGTGGATGCAGGAAAGGTTTGCATACCTTGAACATATAAGAGGTCCAGAGTCACATTCTGCCCACCTGGGACTAACTTATACGGCTCCTGGAAAGTTGCCCATGGCCAGGACACAAATGGAACTTCCCGACTGAAGAAGATGCCCCATGCCTGGTCTTTGTGGGAAGGTAAAGGACCCCTGACCATTAGGTCCAGTCGTAGCCGACTCTGGGGTTGCGGCACTCAACTCGCTTTACTGGCCGAGGGAGCCGGCGTAGAGCTTCCGGTCATGTGGCCAGCAGGACTAAGCCGCTTCTGGCGAACCAGAGCAGCGCACGGAAACGCCGTTTACCTTCCTGCCGGAGCGGTACCTATTTATCTACTTGCACTTTGACGTGCTTTCAAACTGCTAGGTGGGCAGGAGCAGGGATCGTGCAATGGGAGCTCACCCCGTCGCGGGGATTCAAACCGCCGACCTTCTGATCGGCAAGTCCTAGGCTCTGTGGTTTAACCCACAGCGCCACCCGCGTCCCTCATTGGGTTGTATAGTCGATTTATATTTGGATGGGTATTGTAATTTGATATTGATAAAATGGGGTTGCCATTTTATTTCTTAAGGTCCTCCCGAATCTCCAAACTAGCTTCCAGCTATATTGAGGGGAATCTACTCTGCTACATCACTCACTAGAGGATAATACTTAATCAATGTACCCTTTCCTACAATCCTTAAGATTCCCCACACGTTTATGACATTTTCTGGGCTGGTCCAAGTCCTCAACTTCCTCCAGTTTCCACAGTTCAGCCAACTTCATGCTGAACTGCATGCAGGATCTTTCCCACCTCATGTCATCCGCCATCAAGGTTCTATTCCTCACTATTCCACCTCCCCCCCAGGAGTCCATGGGAAGTTGGAGGTGCCAGCAAATCCGCCAAAGGACCTCACAGGTGGCCCCCATGGATTGTTGATCCAGCAACACTGCTGCCCACCTCCCTGCTCATTCAAGACGGCTCGTGTTTTCAATGCGACAAGTGTTTTATTTACGAATCAAGGCACGGAGTGTACATAACGTGACACGTGGAGCTAGGAGGAAGTCGTGGGACAAATTCCACACAAGAAACATACACAATACAGGCTTTAAGGACACATGGATGGCTGAGGGGAAGCTGAACTGCAATCTAATTTCACCTCCACCCAAATATTCCGTTGGCTTGAGATTTAGGATCAGTCAATTAAGCTTTACTTAGAGGAAAGTATTTTGGGAGGAAAGGAGAAGAAAATGGGATTTGCTCTTAACTAGGTTGTGGTCCACCCCATGGCCCACCACTCAGAAAGTACTCCCTTCTTTGGGCACAGAAAAGCACAAGGAATTGAGTCCAAGATGACTTTTCATTTCAGCTAAGCTGAAGAGAGAGGCAAAAACAGCAACCCCTCAAAACACTCCCTCTCAAATTTACTGAACTAAATGGATGTGTCCCAGAGTTGGGTCTTCTCTGTGGTTCAAGGCCTGCCTAGATGCTGGGAACAAATGTATATACCGTATTTTTCGCTCTATAAGACACACTTTTCCCCTCCTAAAAAGGAAGGGGAATTGTGTGTGTGTCTTATGCAGAGAATGAGGGCGGGAGGCTCTGTCAGCGCTCCCTTTAAAGAGGCGCATGGAGCGTGTGTGCGGCTCTTGGGGGCTGCCCTTCTCTCTCCTCAGGGAAAAGCCCCCAAGAGCCACACACACACTCCGCACGCTCTTTAAAGGGAGCTCGGCTCTTGGGGGAGCCTTAGCCGCGCGCAGCCTCTCCCGGGAAGGGATGAAGGCTGCGTGCGGCTAAAGAGGAAGCCAGGACAGCGAGCGGGATCCTGCTGGCTGTTCTAGCTTCTTGGCTTAGCCACGGAATGAAGTCTTTAGTCTCCCTAAAAACTAGGTGCGTCCAATCGTCCAGTGCGTCCAACAGAGCGAAAAATACGGTATATAATTTTTAAAAAGGGTCTGGCACTCTTATACGCTACTACTGCATCTCAAGTTCCTCTGCCTCCGCCTTGCCGGACGCAGCAAAGGGGCCCACCAGCCAAGACAGGGGGGCGTTGTGCACCACGTGGTCCATCAACTCGTCCGTCAGCTCGCGGAGTTTGGAGGCCTTCTCCCTGCTCTGGGCCAGGATGGTGCTGGAGAGGTCGCGGAAGGAATTGGCGGACACAAAGGCCACGCGGAGCTCCTCAGCGTTCTGGCGGAGAAGGCCCACTTTTTCCTGTAGGTTGGCTGGGAGGCCTTGGAGGTTGGAGACCAACGTCATGGTGGCCGACTGAATCTGCTGGGCCAGGCCGCGGGAGACCTCCAAGGCTTGGGTCTCCATCTGCTGGAAGAGAGCAAGAGCACGTCAAGGTTTTGCAAAAGGCTGGGACACACGGCGGGGGACCTTCCGAAAGCGACTTACCTCGGGCTCAGGGATGTTCTTCTGGCTCAGCTCGGGGGACTGCTTCTGACTCCATTGCTTCCACATCTGGTGAACCTTCTCCTGACCACTTTGGATCTTCTGATCCATTCCTTGTTTGACATGTTCCATCTGGGAGGACAGAAGAAGAAGAAGAAGAAGAAGAAGAAGAAGAAGAAGAAGAAGAAGAAGAAGAAGAAGAAGAAGAAGGAGAAGAAGAGTACCGTATTTTTCGCTCTATAACACGCACCCGACCATAACAGATAAAATGGAGAGACATCAAATTTGGATGGTGAAATAATACGCAGTTGAAAAGGTTTATAACAGGACCCGTGGAGGGGAAAGGTGGGAAGTCTAGAGATTCAGAGAAATCTCCAAATATGGTTATGCATTTTGCATTGTTACAACTCTACACTTGTAAAATCATTTACAAATTATTTCAATTTTTTACATAAAAAAATTCCAGGTCATATTCAACCCTCTGAAGTCAATGGCCACTAACGGGCTGATTGATTCCAATGGGTCTACTCCGAGGAACTGAACACAATCCTCCAAACTTTTAGCAGGCTTTAAGACACTGAGTTCAGTCCAGCACACCGGCCTCGGTCCAGTATATCTGAAGGAGCGTTTCCACCCCCATCGTTCTACCCGGACACTGAGGTCCAGCTCCGAGGGCCTTCTGGCTGTTCCCTCACTGAGAGAAGCCAAGTTACAGGGAACCAGGCAGAGGGCCTTCTCGGTGGTGGCACCCGCCCTGTGGAACGCCCTCCCACCAGATGTCAAAAAGAACAACAACTACCAGACTTTTAGAAGACATCTGAAGGCAGCCCTGTTTAGGGAAGCTTTTAATGTATTACAGTATTTTCTTCCAAGATTGGAAAAAATTTAAAGACTATTTGCAGAAATACTGTAAAATTAATGAATGTTAAATTGATGTTGGATTAAAATTAAGTGGTATTGGTAAAAAGATTATTAAGAATATGCAAATATGGAGTGATAATGGTTGAAAATACATAGTTATAATAGGTTTAAGATATTGAGTAAAGACAAATGATAGAGGGTAAGGATTTGCTGAAAGGATTTTTAAACGGGAATACAAAAGGGGAGATGTGAGGAGGTCAAAGAAATAAGGAAATGAGCTGAAAGCTTATTGAAAGATGGATTTAACTTTTAATTTTTCTTTTCTTCCTTTTTTATTATGTGTGTTGGTTTTTTTTGTTTTTTAGTATGTTAAGTTTGTTAAGTTTTGTTTTAAATCTTTTCTATTTTGTAAAACTCTACTTTGTAAACTGTTGTTTTGTGTAAACTTATGTTTTGTGTAAAACCTTAATAAATATTTCATAAAATAATAATAATAATAATGTATTACAGTATTTTAATATTTTTTTGGAAGCCGCCCAGAGTGGCTGGGGAAGCCCAGCCAGATGGGCGGGGTATAAATAATAAATTATTATTATTATTATTATTATTATTATTAAGGAAAATCTTGCAAGAGCTGAACATTGTTGTGTTCTCTCTATTCTTAGCATTTCAGCTTTCTGCAAACGGCTTTGGAGGTTGCAGTTCTCACAACCAAGAGGTGTATAAATTTATGAAATAAATAAACAAACTACCGCCACCCGTCCCCAAACCACTGATGCCGTCCGGGGCCCAATGGGAGTTGCGAGCCTGGCAACATCTGGGCTGCCCCATCTCCTTGCTCTACCCAAAATGCTTCTTACCAGCTCGATGGTTTGGTGCAGCTGGGCGAGGGCATCTTGGGTACTCTGCTTGGCATCCCTCAGCTTGCCCAGAGAGTGCTGGTAGGCTCGGTGGCGGACCTTGGTCGAGAGAGACCCCAGCCGAACAAAGTAGCTCCTCTGCTCCTTCTGCTGCTCCACGGTGGCGATTTCAAAACCCTCGACGGCGGTCGCCAGCTTAGCTAGGAGAAAACCCAAGAACTTTCAGTGTCGTCTTGGAAACCCTTCAGGGCCGGCCAGAGACAGTTTGGCACCCGAGGCGAGACCCTAGTGGTGTAGGAGAGCTGGAAAATAATAATCCACATCTGGCTCCCCTTGGATTTCAAATAGTACATGGGTAAAGGTAAAGGGACCCCTGACCATTAGTTCAAGTCGTGGCAGACTCTGGGGTTGCGGCGCTCATCTCGCTTTACTGGCCGAGGGAGCCGGCGTACAGCTTCCGGGTCATGTGGCCAGCAGGACTAAGCCGCTTCTGGCGAACCAGAGCAGTGCACGGAAACGCCGTTTACCTTCCCGCCGAAGCGGTACCTATTTATCTACTTGCACTTTGACGTGCTTTCGAACTGCTAGGTTGGCAGGAGCAGGGACCGAGCAATGGGAGCTCACCCCGTCGCGGGGATTCAAACTGCCGACCTTCTGATCGGCAAGCCCTAGGGCTCTGTGGTTTAACCCACAGCGTCACTCGCGTCCCTAGTACATGGGGCTTGAATTTTCACAGCTCTCCGGCAACTATAGTGGCTCATTGACCAGAAGTAATGTTATAAGCATGAACTTTAATTTAGTATACCTGAAGGAGCGTCTCCACCCCCATCGTTCTGCCCGGACACTGAGGTCCAGCTCCAAGGGCCTTCTGGCGGTTCCGTCCCTGCGAGAAGTGAGGTTACAGGGACCCAGGCAGAGGGCCTTCTCGGTGGTGGCACCCGCCCTGTGGAACGCCCTCCCACCAGATTTCAAGGAGATAAACAACTATCTGACTTTTAGAAGACATCTGAAGGCAGCCCTTTTTAGGGAAGCTTTTAATGTTTAACGGACTATTGTATTTTAATATTCTGTTGGAAGCCGCCCAGAGTGGCTGGGGAAACCCAGCCAGATGGGTGGGGTATACATAATAAATTAGTACTATCACTGCTCTATGGAGACGGAAGCGGTCTCTCTTACAGGGCTCTTGTTAACAATTTCTGGGCTCTCCCAGGAGCACTTAACAAAGCCCATTTTAGAAACCCCAGGTTGCAGGCGAGTCGCCCCATAACCCCAGCCTGCTGAGATTGTCAGCCTTGGGAGACAACCCAGCAACTCTTCCCGGGTTGGTCTAGATGTCCGCCAGGGCCTCTTCCAACTCTGTGGAAAGCTGAAAGCGTGCAGGGCCTCACCCAGCTCTTCATCCGTCATGGGAAGGTAGTGGTCCACCAGCTGTTCCGATTTCCCCAGCACAGCATCCACACCGCTGGTCACCATCTGCCCCACAGAAGAGCCCATCACTGTGTTGACTCCGCTGGCCACCGCGGACCTGGTCATCTCAACACCCCCCTGGACCGCCTCCTTGGTTCGATCCACCATCCCGGTCACAGTGCTGGCAACGGCGTCTTTCGCACCCGAGACCGTGCTGCTGATGGCGTCCTTGGCTCCCGTCATGGTGGAGGTCACCAAATCTTTGGTGCCTGAAATGATCTAGAGGACAGTTTCGTATGATAGATAGATAGATAGATAGAGTGGTGCCCCGCAAGACGAATGCCTCGCAAGACGAAAAACTCGCTAGACGAAAGGGTTTTTCGTTTTTTGAGGTGCTTCGCAAGACGAATTTCCCTATGCGCTTGCTTCGCAAGACAAAAACGTATTGCGAGTTCTTGCGAGTTTGTTTCCTTTTTCTTAAAGCCGCTAAGCCGTTAATAGCCGCTAAGCCGTTAATAGCCGCTAAGCCGTTAATAGCCGCTAAGCCGCTAATAGCCGCTAAGCTGTTAATAGCCGTGCTTCGCAAGACGAAAAAACCGCAAGACGAAGAGACTCGCGGAACGGATTAATTTCATCTTGCGAGGCACCACTGTAAATAATTTATTACGGCCGGAGACCAGCTTATAAAACACACTTGGGGGTACAATCCCAGAAGGGATAAAACAATGTACAACAATAAATTTAAAATTTATAAATGTGATAAGCGTATAGACACTTAAAACTTTAAGATAAACTACTGCAGAGAGATGACCCAGAATCACCCACGTAATCGAGTTTGGGGATTTTCTTAACAAACTAGTTTGGGTCGGGGGATGCTCTCCGCCTACAGATCCGTACACAGAATCTGGCGACCATCCGGGTCGTCTTATGATCTTTGCCTAACAGGAAAAGGTCACATTTTTGCTTTTCCAGGAGGTCAGTGAGCCTCGCCAGTAGGGGATCAATGGTCTCATTCCGTGCCTCTTCCTAAAAGGGACATCTAAAGAACAAGTGCTCTGGGCTTCCTATCTCCTCCCAATGAACAGGCGCAAAGTCTCTGAGCATAGGGGACTTTTTAAAAGGATCCTTTAAAGGACGGGCGAGGGCAGAGCCGAGCTTCTGCCAAGTGTAAAGGCCCTTCTTGCGTTTTTGGATACAAGAAAGAAGAGATATGCTGCCGGTGCGGCTATATACCTCTCAGTTTCTCCAATTTTATAGTCGGGGCACCTTGAGCGGTCCTGTTCTCTCTCAGTGTCTATGATTCTTTGCCTGACCGTAGGTTTTGCCTGGCCCAAGCCCAGGCTTAGAAGGGCTTGAGGGGCAAAACCCAGTTTCTGAAGGGTGTTCAGGACGGCTGTCTGCCAGCCTGACTGGAATTGGTCGCAGAGGATCAGTGGGGCTATTCCTCGGGGGAGCAGATTCAATGCCAACCATCTATAGATTGATGTTAGGCAGATATAAGCCTCCACTCTCATCATCCCCATTTCTAGTCTAACCCATGCGTTTGAAACACATCTGGGGACTTGTAGGAGAGCTCTAAGGAGGTTGGCAGTTTCGTATGTTTTATTGCGCTTTTAATATTCTGCTGGGAGCTGCACCCAGAGTGGCTGGGGAAGCCCAGCCAGATAGGCGCAGGTGGCGCTGTAGGTTAAACCACAGAGCCTAGGGCTTGCCGATCAGAAGGTCGGCGGTTCGTATCCGCGTGGCGGGGTGAGCTCCCATTGCTCAGTCCCTGCTCCTGCCAACCTAGCAGTTCAGAAGCACGTCAAAGTGCAAGTAGATAACGTATTTTTCGCTCTATAGGACGCACCAGACCACAAGACGCACCAAGTTTTTGGAGGAGGAAAACAACAACAAAAATATTCTGAATCTCAGAAGCCAGAACAGCAAGAGGGATCGCTGCACAGTGAAAGCAGCAATCCCTCTTGCTGTTCTGGCTTCTGGGATAGCTGCGCAGCCTGCATTCGCTCCATAAGACGCACACACATTTCCCCTTACTTTTAAGGAGGGAAAAATGAGTCTTATAGAGCAAAAAATACGGTAAAAAGGGAAGGTAAACGGCGTTTCCGTGCGCTGCTCTGGTTCGCCAGAAGCGGCTTAGTCCTGCTGGCCACATGACCCGGAAGCTATACGCCGGCTCCCTCGGCCAGTAAAGCGAGAGGAGTGCTGCAACCCGAGTCGGTCACGACTGGACCTAATGGTCAGGGGTCCCTTTACCTTTAAACAATAAATTAGTGGCCTGATCCAACAGCCAGTCTGATGTTCACATTTTTACTTGCATGCACTTAAAACAAACAGCAAGTCCGCAGTCGGCCCCTTAATCTCTCCCTGGGATGCTTCCCTAACTTGTTTAACCCAGCCAGGACGTTGCAGTGTTAATACACATTGCAGAATTCCCTGGACGTGTGGAGAGGGAACAGTGAATCCTGTCCTCCAGGAAGGACATCTCAATTTACCTTATCGGTGGGCTGTTGAAGAATCGGCAGGTTTTCCTCCAACTTGTCCAGCCCTTTGCAGGCAAACTCATTGGCTGATGAAACTGAATGAGGAATAATAGCAATAATATCTATATATTAGAGAAGAATATATGGAATTGTAATTGTTAATTCTTTCGGCGATATAGTATACTTTTCTTTCCCCACACCTTTTCACATTCTTAAAGGTAAAGGTACCCCTGCCCGTACGGGCCAGTCGTGTCCGACTTTAGGGTTGTGCGCCCATCTCACTTAAGAGGCCGGGGGCCAGCGCTGTCCGGAGACACTTCTGGGTCACGTGGCCAGCGTGACAAAGCTGCATCTGGCGAGCCAGCGCAGCACACGGAAACACCGTTTACCTTCCCGCTAGTAAGCAGTCCCTATTTATCTACTTGCACCCGAGGGTGCTTTCGAACTGCTAGGTTGGCAGGAGCAGGGACCGAGCAACGGGAGCGCACCCTACCGCGGGGATTCGAACCGCCAACCTTTCGATCGGCAAGCCCTAGGCACTGAGGCTTTTACCCACAGCACCACCCGCGTCCCTTTCACATTCTTAATTAATAATAATAATAATTATTATTTATTTGTACCCCGCCCATCTGACTGGGTTGCTCTGGCCACTCTGGGCAGCTTCCAACATATAAAAACATAATAAAACATTAAATGTTACAAAGCTTCCCTATAGAGGGCTGCCTTCAGATGTCTTCTAAAGGTTGTAGCTTTACCCATCTCCTCTGATGGGAGGGCATCTCACAGAGGGGACCCTGAGGTCCAGCTCCGAGGGCCTTCTGGGGGTTCCCTCCCTGCGAGGTTACAGGAAACCAGTTCCATTCATTCATTCATTCATTGAAGTCCCAGTTCCATTCATTCATTCATTTTATGGTATTATTATTATCATAAAGGCAAGGTCTCCTGTTTGCCTCCAAAACACAGCAGAAATGCAAAATGCAGCATTGCTACCAGAGCAAGCAGGACGGAAAAAGCCCCCCGCCCCTGGCAAACCCCCCCCCCCGCCCCTGGCAAAAAAACCCCACCCCTGGCAACTGGGCAGGCCACTCACTCTGGGGCTCCAGTTTGCTCAAGATGGGCTGAGCGCCGCTGGCAGCCGCCGAAGCAATGGTCTTGACGCCTTTCTCGGCCACGTCGCAGACGGATTTCACATAGGGATGGCTTTCCTTCGTGGATGTATACGCCGCAGAGACCATGTTGTAGGCGGAACTGACCAGTGGGAGGTTGGCTACCCTGCCCGCGACATTCTGACGGGGAGGAGAAAAAGAATGGAAGATATAAACACAGATATATAAACTTAGGGCTTTTGCGGGCGACACAGTTATCCTTTGGGAAATACAAAGACGGTAAGTAAGAATAATAAAAGGTAAAGGGACCCCTGACCATTAGGTCCAGTTGTGGCCGACTCTGGGGTTGCGGTGCTCATCTCGCTTTACTGGCCGAGGGAGCCGGCGTACAGCTTCCGGGTCATGTGGCCAGCAGGACTAAGCCGCTTCTGGCGAACCAGAGCAGCGCACGGAAACGCCGTTTACCTTCCCGCCGGAGCGGGACCTATTTATCTACTTGCACTTTGACATGCTTTCGAACTGCTAGGTTGGCAGGAGCAGGGACTGAGCAACGGGAGCTCACCCCGTCGCGGGGATTCGAACCGCCAACCTTCTGATCGGCAAGTCCTAGGCTCTGTGGTTTAACCCACAGCACCACCGGCGTCCCAATAAAATAATAATAATAATAATTTATTATTTATACCCCGCCCATCTGACTGAATTTCCCCAGCCACTCTGGGTGGCTCCCAATCGAGTGTTAAAAACAATACAGCATTAAATATTAAAAACTTCCCTAAACAGGGCTGCTTTCAGATGTCTTTTAAAGATAAGATAGCTGCTTATTTCCTTCACATCTGAAGGGAGGGCATTCCAGAGGGTGGGCGCTACCACCGAAAAGGCCCTCTGTCTGGTTCCCTGTAACCTCACTTCTCGCAATGAGGGAACCACCAGAAGGCCCTTGGCGCTGGATCTCACTATCTCAGGTAAGAAGGGAGATAAAACAATCTGGAGACTTAGCTGGTTTTCTATATAGGTAAAGGTAAAGGTACCCCTGCCCGTACGGGCCAGTCTTGACACTCTAGGGTTGTGCGCCCATCTCACTCAAGAGGCCGGGGGCCAGCGCTGTCTGGAGACACTTCCAGGTCACGTGGCCAGCGTGACAAAGCTGCATCTGGCGAGCCAGCGCAGCACATGGAAACGCCGTTTACCTTCCCGCCAGTAAGCGGTCCCTATTTATCTACTTGCACCCGGAGGTGCTTTTGAACTGCTAGGTTGGCAGGCGCTGGGACCGAGCAACGGGAGCGCACCCCGCTGCGGGGATTCGAACCACCGACCTTTCGATCGGCAAGCCCTAGGCGCTGAGGCTTTTACTCACAGCGCCACCCGCGTCCCAGGTTTTCTATATAAATGAAGATAAAACTAAAATCCGGGCCAAAAAAATCTGCAAAACAAAACGGGCATTGGGGTGGGGGAAAGTTGGCATATTTGGGTATTTGGTTAACACACAAAAACTGCAGCGCTTTTCCAGAACAATTGCGTTAATGTATGGAAAGAGGTGAAACTAGATTCATCAAGACCCTGCCTGCTACATTCTGACCGGGTTTTTTTGGGTTGGGGAGGGAGGAGAAAAAGAATGGAAGATATTAACGCAGATATATAAACTTAGGGCTTTTGCGGGAGATGCGGTTATTATTTGTTGATAATCCTTTGGGAAATACAAAGAAGGTATGAATATTCTGACTATGATTCCACAAGGCCAGCTGGGGTTCCGAGGGACTTAGCGGCTTCAAGGAGGGAATATTATCCGAGACAAGAGATTCTGCAAAAGGAAACTAGCGTAAAGGAAGTTTTTCCAGCGCTGCCGCAGCAGAAGTCTGGGTTGTCACAATTCAGTCCCCTTGCAAACAAACAAACAAATCAAAGCCGATTGTGCAACCTGGACATTTCACCTCATAAAGTAGGTTGGGGCGAGAGGTAGCATGGGAGTCATGAGTTTCATGACGCAGCGTCACTCGAACTCTGGCCTCTAGTCCATTTGTCAGCCTCTGAATGTAGAAGCCATAAAAGGGGACTAAAGAAGAGCAGTTTAGTTCTCCGCAGGAGCCCAAAGCTGCCGAAGATTTGGCGTTCTGAGTTTCGGCATGCCGTTTATCCCTCGATAAAAGTTGCAGAAAAACTAGAAATTGCGGTTAACCAGGGCAGTGTGACTCGCAGGTCGATGGGCAGAGGGAAAACAATTGCGCTGTCATGCGAAAGAAACGTTTCTTTCTGTTAATTTTGTAGAGATAAAAACTTCAATAAAAATTACCGTATTTTTCGCTCTCCAAGACTCACTTTTTCCCCTGCTAAAAAGTAAGGGGAAATGTGTGTGCGTCTTATGGAGCGAATGCAGGCTGCACAGCTATCACAGAAGCCAGAACAGCAAGAGGGATTGCTGCTTTCGCTGCGCAGCGATCCCTCTTGCTGTTCTGGCTTCTGAGATTCAGAATATTTTTCTTTCTTGGTTTTCCTCCTCCAAAAACTAGGTGCGTCTTGCGGTCTGCTGCGCCTTATAGAGCGAAAAATACAGCAATGAAAAATAAAAAAATGTGCTGTCATGCGTATACAGTGATTAGAGCGTCCTGAGTTCGAATCCTGACTCAAGCCGAAGCCCGTCACTGTCATCTCTCGGGCCAGCCGACCTCACAATAGAATCATTTGCTGTCTATGAACTAAAAGTCACTGCTGGCAAGTCAGGCTAATGACACTGTAAACTGGCAAAGCTCAGAAGAACTTTGGAAGACACCTCAAGGCAGCCCTGCGTAGGGAAGTTTTTTGATTTTTTCATGTTTTATTGCGTTATTGTATATGCCAGAAGCCGCCCAGAGTGGCTGAGCCAACCCAGTCAGATGGGCAGGGTTCTAATAAAATCATCACAAAAAAATTATTAAAACACCGGCCGCGCTTGCAATGCAACAGGACACCGAAATACATTTAAGCACAAGTATAAGTATAAATAGATTATTAGAGCATTAAAGGGAAAAATAAGGTTAGAATGTGTTAAGACAATTATAGGATAGAAAATAGAGGAAGATGGAAAGGAATTGCTGAAACAATTAATAGAAGTGGAATACAAAAAGGGAGGTGTGAGGAGGTCGTGGAAATTAGTGAAAGAAGGATAGCATATTGAAATTGGACTGTGTTTTAAATGGTTTTTGTTTTGTTTTGTTAGTTGTATGTTAGTGTTTTGCAGTGTTTTGTTTTTTGTATTGTATTGTATTATTGTATGGTTTTTCTTTTTTGGTTTTTTGTAAGTGTGTTCAATTTGTTGGAAAACTAATAAATATTATTATAAAAAAACAAAAACAAAACAAAAACAAAATACGTTTAAGCACATCTGATGTGTGTTTAAAACACACGACTTCTGTCTCCCCTCGCTGGCAAAGATTCCTGGGAACTGTAGTTTAAAGGAGCTGGGAATTGCAGCTCTTGGGAAAGGAGAGTTAACTACAGTTCGCAGTAAAAAGGTAAAGGTAAAGGGACCTATTTATCTACTTGCACTTTGACGTGCTTTTGAACTGCTAGGTTGGCAGGAGCAGGGACCGAGCAACGGGAGCTCACCCCGTCATTGCGGGGATTCGAACCGCCGACCTTCTGATCAGCAAGTCCTAGGCTCTGTGGTTTAACCCACAGCACCACCCGCGTCCCTTACAGTCCGCAGTAATGCTCTTTAAATGTTGCCCTGCTTGTCTATCAATCTGCTCCTTGGCTGCCATTGCCAAGTACAATTCAAAGTTTCGGCGCTGACCTTTGGCACTAAATAGAACCAGACAGTTTCGCTATTTCAGCTTCGCTCCGCAAGATGGTCAGGCCTGGGGAGGGTTGTGAATTCCTTGGAAACAAGCCAATCCAAGCACTTGACTTTTGCTCCCGTGAGATGGGGCTGCCTTTGTGCCACTTTGCTGCAATCACATTTGAGCAGAGATTTTGAAACGCCAACCTCCAGCGCTTAATCCAGAATGCGGCAGCTAGACTGGGGACTGGGAGCAGCCGCCGAGACCACATAACACCGGTCTTGAAAGACCTACATTGGCTCCCAGTACGTTTCCGAGCACAATTCAAAGTGTTGGTGCTGAGCTTTAAAGCCCTAAACGGCCTCGGTCCAGTATACCTGAAGGAGCGTCTCCACCCCCATCGTTCAGCCCGGACACTGAGATCCAGCTCCGAGGGTCTTCTGGCAGTTCCCTCACTGCGAGAAGCAAAGCTACAGGGACCCAGGCAGAGGGCCTTCTCGGTAGTGGTGCCCGCCCTGTGGAGCGCCCTCCCACCAGATGTCAAAGAGATAAACAACTACCTGACATTCAGAAGACGTCTTAAGGCAGCCCTGTTCAGGGAAGTTTTTAATGTTTGACATATTAGTGTATTTTTGGTCTTTGTGGAAGCCGCCCAGATTGGCTGGGGAAACCCAGCCAGATCGGCAGGGTACAAATAATAAATTTATTATTATTATTATTATTATTATTATTATTATTATTAAAGCTTTCTGCTCTGTAGAGTAGCCCCCGTTGTTTGTGGGGAAGATCCAAACGCCGTCTCCCGCACGCGTTTCGAACTCTGACCCTCTTAGACCTTGCCGCCAAACCTGTCCTGGGCCGTGGGCAATTTTTGCAAGGATCTGCCAAGTAACCCCTCACTGGCATTTGAGGGAGGGCAGTGTGGTGCAGCGGTCAGAGTGCCCAACTAGGGGACCCGGGTTCAAATATCGCACTCAAGCCAGGAAACTCAGTGGGGGTCTTTGGGGCCAGGGACTGTCCCTCAGCCAAAATCAACCTCAGAAGGTTTTCGGGAAGGATAAAAAGAGGGGAGAGAGAGGGAGAGTCGCTGCCTTGAGCTTTTTGGGGGAAATAGAGAACTAGACATTGTAATATGTCTAGACAAGGTCTTATACAGTGGTACCTCAGGTTACATATGCTTCAGGTTACATACGCTTCAGGTTACAGACTCCGCTAACCCAGAAATATTACCTTGGGTTAAGAACTTTGCTTCAGGCTGAGAACAGAAATCGAGCAGCGGCGGCACAGCAGAAGTGGGAGGCCCCATTAGCTAAAGTGGTGCTTCAGGTTAAGAACAGTTTCAGGTTAAGAACGGACCTCCGGAACGAATTAAGTACTTAACCAGAGGTACCACTGTATATATAATAAATGTTCATAAATGTACCAACCAAACACGTACACAGATCAGCACAGGAAGCCGACCTGAAACCATTTTGACTCCCAAACTGACCAAATGTTTTCTCTGCAAGGAGGGAGGGGGTGAGGGAACCTTCCCATTGTCTCAGGAATTGGGTAATCACCATCTCAAAGGAATGGCCAGACTACCAGGAAATAAGGCATGGGTAGGCAAACTGAGGCCCGGGGGCCGGATCTGGCCCAATTGCCTTCTAAATCCGGCCCACGGATGGTCGGGAAATCAGCGTGTTTTTACATGAGTAGAATGTGTCCTTTTATTTAAAATGCATCTCTGGGTTTTATGTGTGGGGCATAGGAATTTGTTGATTTCCCCCCCTTCAAAATATAGTCCGGCCCCCCACAAGGTCTGAGGGACAGTGGACTGGCCCCCTGCTGAAAAAGTCTGCTGATCCCTGGCAGATAAGGCATTATCAGATAACCTGGCAGACAGGAAAAACAACAACATGGAAAAGCCTCCCCATTATCTTTTCGTTCACAAATCCTGTCTTAAGGGTATGTCTGTGTATGAATAGGGTGAGCCTGCGACCTGGCTCAGGAACTAAGTATTTATCATTACAAAAGACTGGCCAGGCTCCCCAGGCAATCCAATCAAGTGACCATTAACAGGTCACCTGCCAGACAGGAGATAAAACAACGCACTCAGATTTCTGTTGTAGATCACCTTTTCTGTGATGTAGGTATGATGTTTGTGGGGGGTGGTCTTGGGTTACACCCCTTCTGTGATGTATGTATGATGTTTCTGGGGGTGGTCTGGAGCTCCAGGGCAGGGAATTTAAAATGTCTATATAAGGGCGGGCACACCTTGGTTCTGGGACCTCCTCCTTTCCTGCGTGTGGGGGGAGCAACAGACCAATAAAATCAGGCTTACTAGCTGCTTTGCTTCTCAATATTCTCTGGTTGGCCTCTGTTATTTTCTCCTACCAATAGGGAACCCAATTAAGAACCCACTTCCAAAAGGGAAGAAGGGCAGATTTTGTTTATAACAACATACCAAATAGAAATGATAAGAAGGTTGAACTATACAAAAGACAAATCGTTGGAAAAAACAAAACCAGCCACTTACTTTCGGGTCTTGTTCTTCGGTTACTGTAGAGGCGGCGGCATCGCTTTCTGAGGACGACATTCTTGCAGCTAAGAAGGAATAAGAAACGCTCTTGAGTCACACATACAGAGATAATCTTGGGGGTAAAATCCAGGGCCACAAAGACATTCCCTGGTTGGAGGCCGGGAGATAAGGCAGCCACATGCGATTAGCGGCTCAGAAGGTCCAGAAGGTCGATTTGGGATGGGGGAAGAATCACGTCTGCCTTGGACAACTCTCTTTGCAAAAAGAAAATAAAGACACACCCCCCCTCTTTTCCTTGACAGGGAACAAGGCTATGGGGCTGGACTTGGCTCAAGGTTTCCGAGTTGCAAATCTGTGCACCACATGGGGAAAGATGTGCTTTGGGGTCAGGGTAGATAAAAATCAATCAATCAATTTTAAAAATCAGATTTTTTTAAAAAATTAAACCTGTCTTTTAAAAAAATGGATTTTTAAAATAAAATGCTTTTGGAGCAAAAAGATTTTCTCTTTAAGTTACATTATAGTCCAAAGGCTATTCATTAGGAAATAAGGATTTGTCTTAAGTTTTCCACAGGTGCTAAAACTCAGTCTAAGTTTTTTTAAAAAAATTGTTTAACCACATCAGTTAACAAACATGGATGCCTATGCTATAATGTTACTGTTTTAGTTAAATAAATTGTTATGAAGGGAATGATTGTTTTTCTCCTTCTAACAAAGTACAGGAGAATAGTTGCCCAAGTATATACAGTCAACTTATTAAACCTCACAATAATTTCATCATTGCCTGTCAATGTATTTCTAATAGTATAACCAAATCAGCAATTTTTGATATAACTGTAAAAACCACTCTGAAAAGTTATTATTCCAAAAACGAAACCTTCATCTGGTTGGAAATATTCAAGGTTGTACCAGCAAGAATGAGTCTTTCTGTAAAAAAATAATAATGATCTAAATCGTTTTACAGACTAGTGATTTAAATTGATTTGATTTAAATCAAATCCACCCTGCGTGGAGCAGAGGTCTTAAATCTGGCACTAGGCATTTTATTTTATTAAATTATATTATATATTTTATTTTATTTTATAATTTTATTTTATTTTATTTATTATTTATTGTTTATTTTTTGCAAAATGCCAACTCTGTTTTCCAGCCTTGCTCTATATGATTTGATTTGAGTACTGAACCTAACAGACTCCGAATGGCAATGAATCAGTTGTGAGCCACTCAGGAGTTCTAGACGCGATGTAAATTCAGCGGAGCAGAATTGGCTTTGGACGCCGAAGGTTACGAGTTCGAATCCAGACATCCCCAGTTGCGGCCTCGAACCCTGGAGAGTTGATGCCATTGGGTGTCGTAAGACCCAGTGGCCTGACTCTGTATAAAGGCTCCCAAGAATTGTTTGCTTTTGGGAGGTGGGCTGGCTTGGCAAACAACCTCCAACTCAGAGGTTCTTTGTTTAGCAAGACAAAGCCGTACGCCTAGGCGACTACCCTTGCCACATTTTCTGGGATGGAAGGACTGCAACCTTCACCCAAAAAAGATAAATTTTGCAAGACTCCATTTACTCAAGCAGAGCTGTTTCGACATCACACACTTCTCTTTGGAGAGACAAAACCCATCGCAGATGAACTGGATAGCCAACGTTTAACAAAGCAATTGCAGCCATCCCCATTGTCCAGCCTGGACAACTGAGGTCCAGCTCCGAGGGTCTTCTGGCGGTTCCCTCCCTGCGAGAAGCGAGGTTGCAGGGAACCAGGCAGAGGGCCTTCTCGGTGGTGGCGCCCGCCCTGTGGAACATGTCAAGGGAATAAACAACTACAGTGGCACCTCGGTTTAAGAACAGTCCTGTTGACGAACGATTCAGTTTATGAACTCCGCAAAACCGGAAGTAGTGTCCCGGTTTGCGAACTTTACCTCGGTCCAAGACCGGAACCGAACAGTGGAAGGGCTTCGGTTTAAGAACATACTTCTGGAACGGATTAAGTTCGTAAACCGAGGCACCACTGTATCTCACTTTTAGAAGACATCTGAAGGCAGCCCTGTTTAGGGAGGTTTTTAACGTTTGATGTTTGTGTTTTTACTATCCTGTTGGAAGCTGCCCAGAGTGGCTGCGGAGGCCCAGCCAGATGGGTGGTGTATAAATAATAAACTATTATTATTATTATTATTCCTCCAAGAAGAGTGGCTGGGGAAACCCAGCCAGATGGGCAGGGTATAAATAATAATTTTTATTTATCTATTATTATTAGCCACAGGCTTGTCCGGATAATGTTTACAGAGCATTTCCTTCCAATTTGTTTGTGAGGGGGTTAGACAAAAGTCACAGCCTGGCATCATCTTGCACTTTCCAGTGTGTTACTTTCCATCCCTCTACTTAGTGCAAAAAAAAAAAAAAAAAAGGTCGGGTTCCAAAGAACGTTCGCAAACCGAAACACTCACTTCCGGGTTTGCGGCGTTTGGGAGCCAAAACGTCCAGGTACCAAGGCGTTAAAGACGTGCCTTATTTCTGAGATGGCAAGCTGTTTTGAGCTGGTGTTAACATTTGTCAGTGGGTAATTACTAATCATATGGTACGCGGGTGGCGCTGTGGGTTAAACCACAGAGCCTAGGACTTGCCGATCAGAAGGTTGGCGGTTCGAATCCCCGTGACGGAGTGAGCTCCCGTTGCTCGGTCCCTGCTCCTGCCAACCTAGCAGTTCGGAAGCACATCAAAGTGCAAGTAGATAAATAGGTACCACTGCAGCGGGAAGGTAAACGGCGTTTCCGTGCGCTGCTCTGGTTCGCCAGAAGCGGCTTAGTCCTGCTGGCCACGTGACCCAGAAGCTGTACACCGGCTCCCTCGGCCAGTAAAGCGAGATGAGCGCCGCAACCCCAGAGTCGGTCACGACTGGACCTAATGGTCAGGGGTCCCTTTACCTTTACGTAATTACTAATCATAACAGCCCCAGGTCTCATTCCAGCTCAGATGAGAGCGCTCTACTTTCTCGGAGGTTTTTAGAGAGAGGTCAGGTGGCCATCTATTGCTTCAATTGAGACCCTGCGGCTTGATGGAGGTAGAAACTGTTTCATGCCTTGTTACGCTGCCGTTTCTACAGGGATATACGCTCTGTATTTATTACCCCTGCTATGCAAAAATCTCCAAATGAATCTGAACTTCAATGTCTAAAATCCCTGGTAGAGGACAAGGATCCTGAGATCACGTTAAAGGTAAAGGCAAAGGTACCCCTGGCCGTACGGGCCAGTCTTGACAGACTCTAGGGTTGTGCGCTCATCTCACTCTAGAGGCCGGGAGCCAGCGCTGTCCGGAGACACTTCCGGGTCACGTGGCCAGCGTGACAAAGCTGCATCTGCTGAGCCAGCGCAGCACACGGAAACGCCATTTACCTTCTGGCCAGTAAGTGGTCCCTATTTATCTACTTGCACCCGGAGGTGCTTTCGAACTGCTAGGTTGGCAGGCGCTGGGACCGAGCAACGGGAGCGCACCCCACCGCGGGGATTCGAACCGCCGACCTTTCGATCGGCAAGCCCTAGGCGCTGAGGCTTTTACCCACAGCGCCACCGCGTCCCTTGAGATCACGTTAAGGGTAGCCAAATTCTTTGTGATTGCCATAAAACTTAGGGAACAAGCTGTGCTATCATAATGATTAAGGCCTTAAATGATGATTTAGGTTATATGTTAGTGACTAAGTTTTAATTTATATCTTTTTTTAACTGTTGCTATATCTGTATTGTCCCTGTTATACCTAATTGCAAACTCAAACGTATCCCTATCGTGTTCAATGAATTCCTTGATATTGTATGTGGGCTGGAACTGGTCTGCGACCGAAATAATAAAATTCAATTGATGGGCTTCCGTTGGACTAGATGACTACAATTCTATACGTGAAACAAGGACTTTTTTTTTGCCTCTACAGTGGTACCTCGGGTTAAGTACTTAATTCGTTCCGGAGGTCTGTTCTTAACCTGAAACTGTTCTTAACCCGAAGCACCACTTTAGCTAATGGGGCCTCCTGCTGCTGCCGCGCCACCGGAGCCCAATTTCTGTTCTCATCCTGAAGCAAAGTTTCTTAACCCGAGGTACTATTTCTGGGTTAGCGGAGTGTGTAACCTGAAGCGTATGTAACCCGAGGGTACCACTGTACTTTACACTTTAAGCCCTACTCATTCATTCCCCCACACTGAAAGCACATTTAACCCCAACCTCCAAAATCCGGGGAACTTTAGTTTGCAAAGCATGCTGTTAAACTGTAGCTCCCCATGAGCTACAGTTCCCAGAATTTCGTGGGGGCAGGGAAATGCGATTTAAGCACACCTCGAGTAAGCAAGCTTTTACATCCCTAGACTTTGAGATAATAATTAAAAAGCTGGCTATCTCCCCAAAACTTGCGGCAGGCAGCGAAATATTTCAAATCCAGGTACAACCCTATAAATACTGACTCAGGAATAGTATTAAAAGAAGAGATGGATAGTGAAACCATTGCTCTCGAAGTATCTGACCCGAATTGGGAGGGAGAGAAAGAGAGAAAGAGAGAAAGAGAGAAAGAGAGAAAGAGAGAAAGAAAGAAAGAAAGAAAGAAAGAAAGAAAGAAAGAAAGAAAGAAAGTATAAAGTCTTTCAGCTCACCTGATGGGTCCGGCGGAGTTTCAGCTCCAGCAACTGTAAGAGACACGCCCGCGCCCACCTCTTAATATACTCCGGAGTGACTCCCCTTCCTCGCTGTCTGCAATCAGGAGCAAACAGGCATCATGTGAGCTCCGGAATGTGGGTGGGGTTAGAGGGGAAGGGTGGGGGAGAAGGCGATTTTCCCCTCCGGTTCCTGAAAGTTTGGTTCAAAAGGAGCAAAGTGAAGCTCCACCCCCGCTGGAGGAAATGAAAGTGGAAGTGGGCGAATTCGGAGCCGACGTTGCGATCTTCTGTAGCACTGACAGGCAGAAATCCAACCGAGGCAGCTTCATTTTCTTGGGGGCGGCTAAATGACACAGCACTGCTGTCATTCCCTCTTGCTGAAAAATCAAGTTTAAAAAATAGCTCCTGATACAACTGTGAAACTGATAAGCAAAAAAAGCGGAGAATCTTAAATTGCCATCCTATGCCTCCTTTAATTCGGAGTAAGCCCTGTTGGAGTCCTTGGCACAATCTCCCTGGGAGTAGCTCCCCTCTTGAAAACAGCGGGACTTACATTTGAGTAAACACGTGCTTATGATTCGGGTGGAAACGGCAACTCTCGAGTCTGCCCAGAGACACAGATAAATTGTGGAGTGCAGGGAAGTGTGGAAACGCCACTCTGCTTATGCTCAGAGGCAACCTTCTTTATAGCATTCCTTTCTACTCCGGAGATAGCTCCTGGTGCTAGTGTTACGTGTGGCATTTTACAGTACTGCAGGCAGAAATCCCACAGGCGCAGAGGCTGTGATATGGGTTGTTGTTGTTTAGTCCTTTAGTCGTGTCTGCCTCTTCGTGACCCCCTGGACCAGAGCACGCCAGGTCCTCCTGTCTTCCACTGCCTCCTGTAGTTTGGTCAAACTCATGCTGGTAGCTTCGAGAACACTGTCCCACCATCTCGTCCTCTGTCGTCCCCTTCTCCTTGTGCCCTCCATCTTTCAGGGTCTTTTCCAGGGAGTCTTCTCTTCTCATGAGGTGGCCAAAGTCTTGGAGCCTCAGCTTCAGGATCTGTCCTTCCAGTGAGCACTCAGGACTGATTTCCTTCCGAATGGAGAGGTTTGATCTTCTTGCAGTCCATGGGACTCTCAAGAGTCTCCTCCAGCACCAGAATTCAAAAGCATCCATTCTCCGGCGATCAGCCTTCTTTATGGTCCAGCTCTCACTTCTATACATCACTACTGGGAAAACCATTGCTTTTACTATACGGACCTTTGTTGGCAAGGTGATGTCTCTGCTTTTGAAGATGCTGTCTAGGTTTGTCATCGCTTTTCTCCCAAGAAGCAGGCGTCTTAATTCTGTGGCTGCTGTCACCATCTGCAGTGATCATGGAGCCCAAGAAAGTAAAATCTCTCACTGCCTCCATTTCTTCCCCTTCTATTTGCCAGGATATGATATGGGAGAAGACTTCAAATGCAAACTTTGTGTATGTTGTGTACAAAAGGCACAAGGGTCCTGCCAGAAGAGAGACTTGGACATAATTTTGGCTGTGAGTCTCGCAGGATCTCTCATTGCCTTGCAGGCTTTTCTTACCTGGCCTGGGAGAGTGGGACCCGGACTGACTCCAACTACGAAAGCAGAGACTGTGGAAGAAGCCAGGGACCACCTTCAGCAATGTTTCATTTCAAAACATTTAAACGAAACTTTTTGTGTGTGGGTTAACTTTGCTGCGTTCAATGTGCATTCTGCCCTCGACTTCCTTCATAATGTTTTATTTTGAAAACGTTTTAAGAGAATGCTTTTTGTTCATTGCATTGCTTTGAAAGTATACTTTCTTCAGCGACGTTTTATTCTGGATTTATCTGACGCTTTGAGGTATGTTTGTAACCACTCTGAGATTCTTTTCTTAAAAATATAAAGCTGCTCAGGGAAGTTTTGTATTTTTTGCTATTTTTTGTTGGGAGCCACCCAGAGTGGCTGGGGCAACCCACTCAGATAGGTGGCATAGAAATAAATTATTATTATTATTATTATTGACCATCAACATGGTCACAAGAACAAACGGATGAGGCAAGGACTTATAATGTAGTCTGAATATGCCTCCAAATCCCTCTTGCTGAAAACCCCAGGAGGGGAGTGATGAATCTACAAGCTCCATCTGGTATGCAGGATGAGACCCTGCCCATCCGCACACTGTCTTACCAGAGTGGTCCCTGCTCTGGTTATCTCCTGCTTGGACTACTGCAAAGTGCTCTTCGTGGGGCTACCTTTGAAGGTAACTCAGAAATAACAACCAAGAACGTGGCTGCCAGACTGGTGACTGGGAGCAGCCGCCGGGACCATATAACACTGGTCCTGAAAGACCTACATTGGCTCCCAGGACGTTTCTGAGTACAATTCAAAGTGTTGGTGCTGACCATGAAAGCCCTAAACGGCCTTGGTCCAGTAGACCTGAAGGAGCATCTCCACCCCCATCGTTCAGCCTCAATCCGTTAGTTGCCATCCGTCCTCTGACTGCCTCCAGGCACTCACACAGGACCTTCACTGCCTTCACTGGTTCTGATTTGAAAGAGAGGTAGAGCTGGGCATCATCCACATACTGATGAACACCCAGCCTTAACCCCCTAATGCTCTCTCCCAGTGGCTTCATATAGATCAGGAATAGGCGAACTCCGGCCCTCCAGATGTTTGGGACTACAATTCCCATCATCCCTGACTACTGGTCCTGTTAGCTAGGGATGATGGGAATTGTAGTCCAAACATCTGGAGGGCTGGAGTTTGCCTATGCCTGGTATAGATGTTAAAAAGCATGGGGGAGAGGACGGAGCCCTGAGGCACCCCACAGATGAGAGCCCAGCGGTCTGAACACTCAGCCTCCAACACCACTTTCTGGACACGGCCTGGGAGGAAAGAGAGGAACCACTGCATAAGTTTCCCTGTTTAGGGAAACTGTTTAATAGGTTATTATATTTTAATATTCTGTTGGAAGCCGCCCAGAGTGGCTGGGGAAACCCAGCCAGATGGGCGGGGTATAAATAAATTATTATTATTATTATTTCCCCCAACTCCTCTGGACAGTCCAGGAGGAGACCCTGGTCAATGGTATCAAAAAGCGCTGAGAGATCCACAGCTCAAAAGAAGTCATTTCTTTATTCTGGAAGTAAAACAATTCTACGGAGGTACAAAAACATTAGCGGCACTTCAGGCTGGATTTCTCGGGACCGGCGCTGATTCCAGGGCTCACCCAAAGTTCCTCTTGACCTGCACTCGGACAGTTCCAAGTGCTTGCCTCCTTGTCCTTCTCCTTTCCCAGAAAAAACAAACAAACCCTGCTCTTTAGCTCAAAATAGGAACAAACAGCAACCCACTGGAAACCCACGGCTGTTTGCTCCGAATGAGCACTAAAGAGCAGTTTCCCACCCCAGAGGGAGGCAGCAAGACTAGAGGAATTGTGGTGTTACAAAAGAAAGGCCACCAACGGAGGCTACGCAAGATTCATGCTGGAACCACATTAAGAGCAGGGCGGGGTCTTTTTTTCCACCCCCATGGCATTGGGAAGAAACTTGAGAAATTGAGGAGGGGGGTAGGGAAGAGAAATATTGTCAAAAACTGAAAGCCACAACAGGGTAGGAGGGCAAGAGTGAAGGAGGAGACATTTCACTAATAGTTAAAACAATAGTTCAAACCTACGTTAAAAGCATTGGGATTTCCTGAATCTAAATCTAGAAAACCAAGATTTACAGGGCACACATGGATAGCTCAGTCAATAGGGCATAAGACCCCCTAATCCCAGAGGTTGTGGGTTCGAGTCCCAAGTTGGGCAAACGTTTCCTGCCTTGAAGGGGGCTGGACTAGTTAGAGGACCGTCATGGGTCCCTTCCAACTCTACAATTCCGTGTTAGATCATGTCTAGTGTCAGTCTTACTCAAGAGTAGACGAGCTGAAAATAATGCACATAGCTCACTTGGCTCCAGTCGTTTCAAGAGGTTTGCAGCCACTGTCGGTCCTACTCGGAAGTAGGACCATGACATGCTGGGCACGGGTCTACTTGGGAGTAGGGCCAGCAGTAGATGCAACCCATTGCTTCGGGACATTAATTTCATTCGGTCAACTCTTGAGTAGAACTTAGCTTGAGAAAACCATTTCTCTCTCTCTCTCTCTCTCTTTTTTAATAGTAAATTCCAAAAATTCTAGTGGCCCCCAGATTGGGTAAGCAATTTACCCAAGGCTCCTTCTCTTCCCATTTCAAAATTTCTGAGTTCTGAGCTATTTGCTAGGGACTTTAAATGCCCCTAAGTGGCGGCAGTGGGGGAATAGGACAATATTCTCTTTCTAGAGGACGGGAGATGTGTTTGACAAACACACAAAGCGGCTCATCGTTCAGACCATTTTTTCCCTTGTCGCCGCCACCATTCAGCATTCCCAAAAGGCACATCTAAATTACAACAGGTGCTGTTGGGAACCTCTGCTCAGCCAGAAACACCTGGGAACTGTAGTTCTGCAAAAAGAAAATAAAAAAGCACCAGGTCTTTGAGACGGGGAATCTATGGTCCTCCAGATGTGCTGGGAGCCAAGAGCCACAACATCTGGAGGGCTACAGGTTCGGTATCCTCGACTTCCTTGCAATACTACGGTTCCCAAGGATTCTCTGCAACCGCCGCAGATTTCCGAAAAGCACAGCACGGAAGATCTAAAGTTCCTTCTCCGGTTCGGAGGGCTCCTTTTGCGGGGTCTTAGGCTTTTCGGCGGGGTCTTCCTGCGCCCGGGAGCCAACTCCCTCTGCCTCTGGAAGCTCCACCAGGTTGGGCGCAAAAGGGCCCACCACCCACGGGAGGGGGACGTTTTGCACAACGTAGTCCAACATCTCATCCATCGAGCTGCGCGCCTTGGCGATGCTCTCGCGGCTCTGGCTCAGGAGGGCGGCCGGCACGTCTTGGAAGGAGCGAGCCCCGGAGAAGGAGGAGTGGAGACCCTCGACGGTTTGGCGGAGCTGCTGGACTCTGTCCTGGATCCCGGAGGGAAGGCCTTGGACACTGGACACGAGGGTGACGCAGGAGAGCTGCAGCTGCTGGGTGAGGCCCCTAAGCAGGGCGAGAGACTGGGATTCCACCTGGGAGAATAATAATAATAATAATAATAATAATAATAATAATAATAATAATAATAATTTTTATTTATACCCCACCCTCCCCAGCCAAGACGGGGCTCAGGGCGGCTAACAACCAATAATAAAAACAAGGTGATTGAAATACAACTTAAAAAACAAGATTAAAATACATTAAAACATTAAAATGCAGCCTTATCACAGGAGGAGAAAGGAAAAAAGAAAAGAGGGGGAGGGAATCAAATTGATTCCAAGCCAAAGGCCAGGTGGAACAACTCTGTCTTACAGGCCCTGCGGAAAGAAATCAGATCCTGCAGAGCCCTGGTCTCATGAGGCAGAGCGTTTCACCAGGCCGGAGCCAGTGTTGAAAAGGCCCTGGCTCTGGTTGAGGCTAATCTGACTTCCTTAGGGCCCGGGACCTCTAGGGTGTTGCTATCTATGGACCTTAAGGTCCTCCGTGGGGCATACCAGGAGAGGCGGTCCCGTAGGTACGAGGGTCCTAGTCCGTGAAGTCCCCCCCCCTTTAGAAACCAGCATTACTTCCACCTCAAGAGGGACTAGAACCTTGGCCTTTGTTCAAAATCTACAGTGGTACCTTGGTTCTCAAACACCGGAAACCCGGACGGAAGTGTTCCGGGTTTCGAACATTTGTCAGAAGCCGAATGTCCGATGCGGCTGCTGGCTATAGTTTCCGGGGCGCCTGCACCAATCAGAAGCCGCGCCTTGGTTTTCGAACATTTTGGAAGTCAAATGGACTTCCGGAATGGATTAAGTTTGGTGCTTTTGTTTTTGCTATTTATTTTGTGTTTTTGAGGCTCTTTTGGTTAGTTTATTTTTGTGACTGTGCGGAACTCAGTTCAGCTACTGATGGATTGATTGATTGATTGTGTGACTGCGGCAATGGATAAAAGCCCCCCATCCAAACAATGACTATCATCAGCACAGGTAAGAAAATGCCGTATTTTTCGCTCCATAAGACGCACCAGACCACAAGACGCACCTAGTTTTCAGAGGAGGAAAACAAGAAAAAAAATATTCTGAATCTCAGAAGCCAGAACAGCAAGAGGGATCGCTGCGCAGTGAAAGCAGCAACCCCTCTTGCTGTTCTGGCTTCTGGGATAGCTGCGCAGCCTGCATTCGCTCCATAAGACGCACACACATTTCCCCTTACTTTTTAGGAGGAGAAAAGTGAGTCTTATAGAGCAAAAAATACGGTAGTTTATTTCTGTGACTGTCCGGAACCCAGTTCAGCTACTGATGGATTGATTGTTCGACTGCGGCAATGGATAAAAGCCCCTCATCCAAACAAGGACTATCACTAGCGCAGGTAAGAAAATAATACTGAAAAAGTGTGCTCATTTGCTGTACAGCATCAGATTCTTGACTGCAGGGTTGTCTCTCAAGGGATCTTTTTTGGGGTGGGAGGTGGGTAACTGGTCATTGGTTTTTAGAAGGGGCTGGTCTCCCCCCCCCGCCCCCCTGAGCGAAAGGGAGGAGCTACCTCTGGCTGCACCAAGGAGTGTTGTGGCTCATCACTTTGAGCTTGCTTCTGGTTCCAATCCAGCCACATCTGATGCAACTTCTCTTGGCTGCCATGTACCTTGCGGTCCACTCCCTGTTTGACATGTTCCATCTGACAAGGGACAAGAAAGGGTGGGAGGGGAACCACACCAGAAGCTTGCTTTTCTTTTCGCTTAAATAAATAAATAAAAACCCAGTCCTTCTCCTGCACCTGCTATTGCTTATAGGTCAAGAAGAGCCCTTTGGCTCTCGAGATGGAGTGGGACTACAACTCCCATCAGCCTCAGCAAGAATGACCAAGGACAATGGGAGCTGTAGTTCTGCAACGTCTGGAGGGCCACAGGTTCCCCTGCACCTTTTATAGAATCATGGAGTTGGGCGGAACCCCAAAGATCATCCGTTTCAAAAGGTGTCACTCTGGCGAATGCGGCAGATTGAACATGAAACCTCGATGTCATCAGCACTGCGCTCTGAGTTATGTATAGACAAGGCCTGATGTGGATGGAGAATTGTTTTATGCCTCCATGCAATGCAGCCATTGCTTACCAACTCCAACGTCTCTGCGGTCCATGCGGTTGTTTTCACCATGGTCCTCAAACATCGCCTGCTTAAATCTCACTCCGTTCCAGCCGCCCAGTGCACATGCCATCCCACCAAGCCCCGAACCTCCGTCCCCAACCCAGTGCGGTGCCCCGAAAGTGGACAGAGGAGAGCTTCTCTCGCAAGATTAGAGGGCAGTGGGCATCCCACAAAGCTGGGTGTTGGAAGAGAAAGGGCAGGCAAAAGAAGTCCTTATTCTGACAACTGAACTGCGGAACTCTCTGCCACAGGAGGCCGTGACAGCCAGCACCTTGGGTGGCTTTAAAATAGGGTTGTGGATGGATGGGACAAACTCATGGACCAGAAGGCTATCAGCAGATCCTAGGGACGATGGCTGCGTTCCACGTCCACCGTCAGATGTGGCAGGGCTCGGAATACTGGTTTCTGGGAATTAGAAACTGCTGTTGTGCTTGCACCCTGCTTGCCAGATTCCCAGAAGAATCTGGGTGATCACTAGCCCACTGGCCTGTTCTGGCAAGCTCTCCTTTATGCCCTAGAACCCGTGCGTCTTCTACCCATTCAACCCAACCCCTCTAATCATTTGCCAACAATACATCGCTGGAACCTTCACCTTGGGCAGCTGAAATGCGCCTTATGTGATGTCATAGCAGTTCAGCCAATGGGCACTTCTCAAGCTGTAAATCACTTTTATTTATTAAGCTCATAGGGTGGCTTACAACATAAAGGTAAAGGCACCCCTGCCCGTACGGGCCAGTTGTGTCCGACTCTAGGGTTGCGTGCTCATCTCGCTCTAGAGGCCGTGAGCCGGCGCCGTCCGAAGACACTTCCGGGTCACGTGGCCAGCGTGACGAAGCTGCAGCTGGTGAGCCAGCACCAGCGCAGCACATGGAAACACCGTTTACCTTCCCGCTATAAAGCAGTCCCTATTTATCTAGTTGCACTTAAGAGTGCTTTCGAACTGCTAGGTGGGTAGGAGCTGGGACCGAACGACGGGAGCTCACCCCGCCGCGGGGATTTGAACCGCCAACCATACGATCGGCAAGTCCTAGGAACTGAGGTTTTACCCACAGCGCCACCCACGTCCCTTGGCTTACAACATAACCCCCCACAAAATACACGATAGTAAAATATCCCAATAAACCACATGCCCGCCACCCCAGACATAAGCAGCCCTAGCCCAATTAAGGAGTGCATAGAGTATAGATTAGAAACAAAAGGCTCTGGATCAGTTTTTGGGGCATTCTTACCAGCTCGATGGTTTGGTGCAGCTGGGCGAGGGCATCTTGGGTACTCTGCTTGGCATCCCTCAACTTGCCCAGAGAGTGCTGGTAGGCTCGGTGGCGGAGTTTGGCTGAGAGAGACCCCAGGCGCACAAAGTAGCTCCTCTGCTCTTTCTGCTGCTCCACGGTGGCGATTTCAAAACCCTCAACGGAGGTAGCGAGTTCAGCTGGGAATGAGAGAGGGGTGGTGGTTATGGTGGCGTTAAAGGTATCAGTTCAATATGCACAAAACACTATGTCTAAATGCCTAGTACTTAAAATGCTATGCACACAAGTTTGCACCATGCAGGAGGTTTCACTCTGGCAAATGCGGCAGAAAAGTTTGGATGTTTCTATTTCAATCATTAGCAGTGGTACAGCGTAGGTTGCCAGTGTACAGGGTAAGGAAAGTACTGTGGCCCCTAAACTGCGGGGAGAAGCAATCCTTCGTCACAGACAAAGGAAAGTTCAGGGGAAAGTTCCCACCATGCGAGAGGCGGTCCCTATTCTGCCCATCAGGGACTTGGGACCTCTAGGACCAACTGGCGACATCATGGTTCATGGTGAGAACAGGGTAACCGTTCAGACAGGGGGGCATAAATATATATAGTATGATAAACATAGCCCCCTCCTGTTAAATACCAGACATTTGTCCAGGAACTGGTTTTTAATATATTTTATTGCTTTACTGCCTGTGTGTTTGCTGCCTTGAGTAACTTTGGGGAGGGAGGCCTATAAATTTAACGAATGATACGAATAAAATAACTCCCTTAACGAGGATACCTACCCAGTTCTTTGTCCGTCATCGGGAGATAATGGTCCACTAGCTCTTCAGACTTGCCCAGGACCACATCCATGCCAGTGGTGACCATTTGACCCACTCTGGACCCCAGGACGGTGTTCACACTGCCAGCCACCACCGATCTGGTCATCTGCACGCCACCGTGTACGGCCCCTTTGGCCATTTCCACCACCCCGCTCACGCCGCCAGCCACAGCATCCTTCGCCCCGTTGAGGGTACCGGAGACAGTGTCCCGGGCCCCAGTCACTTTGGTGGAGACCAGTTCCTTCGTGTCTGCAACCACCTGGAAAATTGTGAGCAAAATGCTATGAACCAAAGTTTGCACTAGACAGGAGGTTTCACTCTGGCAAATGCGGCAGAAATGGCTGGATGTTTCCATTTCAGTCTTTAGAAGTGGCGCAGAGTGGGTTCCTAGCGTTCGGGGTAAGGCAAGTATTGTGCCCCCTAAGCTGTGGGGAGAAGTAATCCTACGTCACAGACAGGGATAAGTTCCCATCATGCGAGTGTCGGTCTCTACTCTGCAAGATAAAATACGACGGCGTGTTCTTGACATTCCAGCTCCAAGAGTTTCTCGAACATGGTGACGAATTAAGAGTTTTGCACCAGCAGAATCTTGCTGTGCAACAGAACACATAAAGCAGGTTGCTGTTTACATTGTGGGATGTGATCCATGAGAGACAGTCAAGTACAACATTCCTTGTAATCCTAGAGAAGACATGCGAGGGAATGTTTGGTCCAGCCAGTCGAAACTTCCTGTCCCTCCTGGCTGGAGCATCCTTCCTTTTGCATGTGATAGAAACACAGATAATGTACCATTGAGCAGAGCATGTCAGGAAAGAAGAAAAAAATTACCAACCTTCTCTGATGGCTGTTGCAAAATAGGCAGTTTCTCTTCCAATTTGTCCAACCCCTTGCAAGCATACTGATTGGCCGTTGCAACTAAAAAGACACAGAGATTAATTAATTAATTAATCTCAGAGATTAATGCATTAAAAAAAACGTGATGAAGATGATGTATAGATGGTACATCACACCAGTTAAGTTAGCAAAAATGTATAAAGTCAGTAAAAAATGTTGGAAATGTAAAGAAAAGGAAGGATTATTTTATCATATGTGGCGGGAATGTAAAAAGGTGAAATGCTATATAATGAGTTGAAAAAGATGTTGAAATATACATTAAAAAAAACAAACCAGAAGCATTTTTACTTGGTATTCTAGGTCAGGACATTAATAGGCAAGATGTTAAATTGTTTTTATATGCAACAACTGGGGCAAGAGTATTGTTAGCCCAGAAATGGAAACAAGAAGAAATTCTGAAGAACGGCAGACAAAATTAATGGACTATGCAGAATTGGACAAAATGACAGGAAGGATTCGAAACCTGCGGGACCAGAGATTTACAGAAGTATATGAAATATTTGAAGAGCAACTGTAATCAACAAATTACGCCAGTAGGACTACAAGACGTTTTGTAAGGAGAAATATACGAAGTGTTACAAAGTAGAAAAAGATAAGAGATATTGGTTATGAGTTTGAAATGTAATACGGAAGGTAAGAAATGCATACTGAGAGATTAGATTGGAAAATTTCCAGACAGGATTGATGGAAGTCAAAAATTTGAATAAGATGTAAAAGTATGTTTAATTACTGTTGAAAATGATATGTTAAAAAAACTATTAAATATATATATATGGGTGTGATCTACGAGATCATTCTTTTTGTGTCACGCCTGGGGACGCGGGTGGCGCTGTGGGTAAAAGCCTCAGCGCCTAGGGCTTGCCGATCGAAAGGTTGGCGGTTCGAATCCCTGCGGCAGGGTGCGCTCCCGTTGTTCGGTCCCAGCACCTGCCAACCTAGCAGTTCGAAAGCACCCCCGGGTGCAAGTAGATAAATAGGGACCGCTTACAAGCGGGAAGGTAAACGGCGTTTCCGTGTGCGGCTCTGGCTCGCCAGATGCAGCTTGTCACGCTGGCCACGTGACCCGGAAGTGTCTCCGGACAGCGCTGGCCCCCGGCCTCTTGAGTGAGATGGGCGCACAACCCTAGAGTCTGTCAAGACTGGCCCGTACGGGCAGGGGTACCTTTACCTTTATGCACCGAAAACATATTCAAAGCATGCGACTCCCTTCCCCTGCCGAAGAATTCTGGAAACCATAGTTTGCCAGTGGCGAGGCGCCAACTACAGTTCCCAGGATCCTCTGGGGGAACGCCCTGCGCTTTAAGCACACAGTGAGGAGGTGAGGGTACGTGCCACAGTTTCTCAACCTCAGCGCGGCACAAGACACGCAACAAAGCAACAAATCAACAGCGTCACCCACTCTGAGGCTCCAGCTTGGTCAAGAGAGGTTGGGCGCCGCCAACGGCCGCCGCCGTGAGGGTCTTCACGCTCTTCTCTGCCACGTCGCAAACGGACTTGAGGTAGGGGTGGGTCTCTTTTGTGGAGGCGTAAGCGGAGGAGACCATGTCGAAGGTTGAACTGACCAGTGGGAGGCTGACCACTCGACTGACCACATTCTACCAGAAAGAGAAGAATTATTATTATCACTTGGGCAGCTCATTTTCAGTGGTGCCTTGGTTCTCAAACGCCTTGGTTCCCAAACACCGAAAACCCAGAAGTGTGTGTTCCGGTTTTCGAACATTTGTCGGGAGCCGAACGTCCGATGCGGCTGTCGGCTATGGTTTCCGGGGCACCTGTACCAATCAGAAGCTGCGCCTTGGTTTTTCGAACATTTCAGAAGTCAAAAGGACTTCCGGAATGGATTAAGTTTGCCACTTTTGTTTTTGCGATTTATTTTTGAGGCTTTTTCGGTTTATTTGTTTTTGTGACTGTGTAGAGCCCAGTTCAGCTACTGATGGATTGATTGTGTGACTGCGGCAATGGATAACCCCCCCCATCCAAACAATGACTATCACCAGCGCAGGTAAGAAAGCATTTTAATTTTTATCCTCTACAATACAGTCTTATTTATTTTATAGTACAGTACATTGTTTCTTGGGGACGCGGGTGGTGCTGTGGGTTAAACCACAGAGCCTAGGGCTTGCCGATCAGAAGGTCGGTGGTTCGAATCCCCGCGACGGGGTGAGCTCCCGTTGCTCAGTCCCTGCTCCTGCCAACCTAGCAGTTCGAAAGCACGTCAAAGTGCAAGTAGATCAATAGGTACCACTCCAGTGGGAAGGTAAATGGCGTTTCCGTGCGCTGCTCTGGTTCTCCAGAAGCGGCTTAGTCATGCTGGCCACATGACCCAGAAGCTGTACGCTGGCTCCCTCGGCCAGTAAAGCGAGATGAGCGCCGCAACCCCAGAGTCGGCCACGACTGGACCTAATGGTCAGGAGTCCCTTTACCTTTGTGTACATTGCAGCAGCCTTTGGCTATGTGCAATAAAACTGACTGACTGACTGACTGAAATCTCCTACCTGGAATAGAGGGGCGCAATTATTTGGCCATGGAGACAGAAGGGGCAGATCAGGGCCCAGAAACCGCCAGCGACCAACACCCAGCTTGGGCTGAAGGGACTCACTCCTCAACATACCTGCTGATCAGGCTCTTGGTTTTCTGGAGCTGTGTCGCTCACGGGACTTCCTTCCGACGTCATGGCAGGGCTAAAAGAGAGGAGGAAGAAACTGTCAGGAGAGGCAGGAGGGCTCCCGCTTCTGCCCCACAATGGCCAGTTAACTTATGGAACTCCCCGACACATGATACGCTGAGGGACGCTTGATGAGCAGGCCTTCGTTGTTGTTGTTTTTCCAGGGCTGTACAAATTCACGGAAGATGGTTCTATCGACAGCTCTGATTTACTGAAACGGAAACTGCATTAAGACACTTTCCACAAAGTCGTCCAAGCAGGTGGCTGTCGCTGTGTCTTAGAATTTTAAGCCTGCGTTGCTCCCTGGATGCTCGGCAGATAAGCCAAACCTTCCATTGTTTCAAATCCCAATAAGCAGACGAGGAACAATGGTTCCCATGTTATAATGTGAAGAGAAACCAGTCCGTCCCAGTTTGATGAGTCACGCTGCATTTTTTGCTTAAGCAAACCAACAGCGCTGTGGCACTGCAAATACATGCTGCTCTCTAATTCCTAGCAAACAGCCCAACTGAACGCATTTTCCAGACTTGAAACTCAGGTTTCTTCCATTATGGGGCTCAAAAAGTACAATATTGGGAAATGATTTATAATGAATTGAAAAATATATATTTAAATTTAGCTTCCTCTCCCCCCAAAGTCCTTTTTGTTTGGAATAAGCCAGACAGAGGGATGTGGGTGGCGATGTGGGTTAAACCACAGAGCCTAGGACTTGCCGATCAGAAGGTCGGCGGTTCGAATCCCTGCGACAGGGTGAGCTCCCGTTGCTCGGTTCCTCCTCCTGCCAACCTAGCAGTTTGAAAGCACATCAAGTGCAAGTAGATAAATAGGTACCGTTCCGGCGGGAAGGAAAATGGCGTTTCCGTGCGCTGCTCTGGTTCGCCAGAAGCGGTTTAGTCATGCTGGCCACAGGACCCGGAAGCTGTACACCGGCTCCCTTGGCCAATAAAGCGAGAAGAGCGCCGCCACCCCAGAGTCGGCCGCGACTGAACCTAATGGCCAGGGGTCCCTTTACCTTTACCTTACAGTGGTACCCCTGGTTGCGAACGGGATCCATTCCGGAGCCCTGTTTGCATCATGAGCAGAACGCAAGCACCGTCTGCGAGTGCGCAGCTTGCGATTCGCTGCTTCTGCGCATGACGTCATTCTGAGTGTCTGCGCATGCGGCAAAACCCGGAAGTAAGCCGCTCTGTTACTTCCGGGTCACCGCGGGACGCAACCTGAAAAGACGTAACCTGAACCGAACGTAACAAGAAGTATGACTGCATTATTATTGTTATTATTAGAATCATAAAATCATAGAATTGTTGGAAGGGGACCTCTTCCCGAGATTAAGAGTCCTGTGCTCTACCAACAGACCCCCAGTCTGACTTTGAAGATACAGGGAACTGAAACTTGACCGTTCTGAAATAACAGCAGCAAGAATATTATTGGCCCAAAAATGGAAGCAAGAAGAATTACCGACGATTGAAGAACGGAGGATGAAGTTAATGGACTATGCAGAACTAGATAAACTAACAGGAAGAATTCGAAACCGTCGGGACCAGAAATTCACGGAAGACTGGAGTAAATTTACGGACTATTTGAAAAGTATTTGTGAAGATCAGACGACGTTTGTAGGTTTGCAAGAAGTTTTGTGAGGAGTATTATTGGAAGTATTGCAAAAATGGAGAAGGGGAAGGATGATTCGTTAAGAGATGTAAAGGCAATATAAAGTTAAGAAATGCATAAGAAGTGGTTAAAACGGTGGATCATCAGAGGTGCTGATGGAAGTCTAAAAAGATTGTATAAGTTTTGTGGTACATTTTATAATTTATATGTTAAAATCAATAAAAATTATTAAAAAAAGGAAAGAAACTTGACTGTTCTGCACAAAATGCCTGCATGCCAGCACTGCGCTACAGATGTAAGAGGTGACACATGTGATCAAGCACAGCCCCGCCTGGGCATGTCAGTCAAATGCGCTCAGGTCCCGTTCAAAGAGTCAACTTTGCCCTAGTGGGCTGCCTGCCTCTGGCACAGAAGGGCCTTACTCATTTGAGGACACAGCCTGCAGCTCACAACCTCCTGCCTGGAAGGTCAGGCTTTGATGACTCAGAGCACGTACATGCAACAGCCGTGGAAGCGTGGAGCAGGCTTGTGCAATGCACCTCACAACTGCCTCCTTCCCGTGTCAACATTCACCGAGAGCTGGAAATCTCCGCATGCCTGGAAGTGTTTCACCTGCACCCACTTAGCAACATGTTGCAACATACAAAGCTGCTTTCTGCCACAGGCAGGGTGGATAAAAACCAATGTTTTGTTTTTTTTTAAATTGGATTTTTAAAATTTTATTAAATCGGATTTTTAAAATTTTATTAAATCGGATTTTAAAATTTTATTAAATCGGATTTTAAAAATTTTATTAAATCGGATTTTAAAAATTTAAATCGGATTTTTAAAATAAAATACTTTCGGAGGAGTAAGCTTCCTAAAGATAGCTTTCTGTTTAAGTTACACTACAGTCCAAAGGCTTTTCATCAGGAAATAAGGATTTGCCTTTAAGTTTTTCGTGTGTGCTAAAACTCAGTCTAAGTTAACAAACATGGATACATATGCTACAATGTTATTGTTTTAGTTAAATAAATGGTTTAAATTGTTGTGAAGGAAATGTTTCTTTTTCTCCTTCCAATCAAGTACAGCAGAAAAGTCCAAATATAAACCATAATTCCATAATTGCCTGTCTAGGTATTTCTAATAGTATAACCAGCAATTTTTGATATAACTGTAAAAACCACTCTGAACATTTATTATTCCAAAAATGAAAACCTTCATCAGGTTGCAAATACAGTGGTACCTCGGGTTAAGTACTTAATTCGTTCCGGAGGTCCGTACTTAACCTGAAACTGTTCTTAACCTGAAGCACCACTTTAGCTAATGGGGCCTCCTGCTGCCACTGCGCCGCCGGAGCACGATTTCTGTTCTCATCCTGAAGCAAAGTTCTTAACCTGAAGCACTATTTCTGGGTTAGCGGAGTCTGTAACCTGAAGCGTATGTAACCCGAGGTACCACTGTATTAAGATTATACTAGCAAGAATAAGTCTTTCTGTTAAAAAAGAAAGGAAAAAAAAAGATTTAAATCAAGTCTTACTGACTAGTGATTTAAATCAAGCCTTACTGACTAGTGATATCAAATCCACCCTGCTCAATAGTGTTGGCTCGGATTGGCAGCAGGTCCCCAGGGCTGGTCATTCCCAGTCTGATGTGGAGATGTCCAGAATTGAACCGGGCGACCTTCTCCATGCATTCAACGACCAACTCCTTCCCCTATCTCAGGGGTCAGCAACCTAAGGTCCATGGGCTGAAAGCGGCCCGCAGAGGTCATTTGACTGGCTCACGAGCTGCCCCTGAACCGAGTTGCCCGCTCATGCACTGTGGTAAACCGGCACAGCGCGGCGCAAAGACTCGCTTACGTGGCGCCGAAAACAGCGCCTGCGCAGACGCTGAAAACCGCATCTGCACATGCGCAGGCCCCGAAAATCACAGGCGTGCGAGCTCACACACACACACACACACACACACAATCCAGGCCACGGAGGGATCTCCGTGGTACCGATCCGGCCCAGACAAGATAAACCTCGCTGAGCCCTGCCCTATCTTATACTGACCTTCACTATAAGTCAGTGTTAGAAATCTGCCTGGTGCCAGGTGATCTCTGCATGCCAGGGTGGTGACTGACATCCCCGTCTGGCTGGCCCCTCCGGCTTCCTTAAGTGTTGTTGTTTAGTTGTGTCCGCCTCTTCGTGACCCCCTGGACCAGAGCACGCCAGGCCCTCCTGTCTTCCACTGCCTCCCAGAGTTTGGTCAAACTCATGTTGGTAGCTTCGGGAACACTGTCCAGCCATCTCGTCCTCTGTCGTCCCCTTCTCCTTGTGCCCTCCATCTTTCCCAACATCAGGGTCTTTTCCAGGGAGTCTTCTCTTCTCATGAGATTGAAAAGGGTCCCCCTTTTTTAAAAAAAGTGTTTTAAATAGCTCATGGGCCTTTCCTATTCTCCTTAAATGCACATACAGTGGCACCTCTGGTTACGTACTTAATTCGTTCCGGAGGTCCGTTCTTAACCTGAAACTGTTCTTAACCTGAAGCACCACTTTAGCTAATGGGGTCTCCTACTGCCGCCGCAGCTGCACAATTTCTGTTCTCATCCTGAAGCAAAGTTCTTAACCCGAGGTACTATTTCTGGGTTAGCGGAGTCTGTAACCTGAAGCGTATGTAACCTGAAGTGTATGTAACCCGATGTACCACTGTACCTTCACTTGACCTCTTGAATGAGAGCAGAGAAGGCTGTTCAGACTGCGGCTGAACTCCAGGACCAAATTGCCCTCTTTGGAAGTCCAAGTTGCTTAAGAGAGCTAGAAGTTCTCACCAGGTGATCACCAAGATACTATTTACTCATTAACTTGCCGGTGCTGAACTTCCTTGCCTTGGAAGTTAAATCCCATGGGTGCTTTTGTTATCAGCTAGGGTGTGTGTGTGTGTGTGTGTGTGTGTGTGCACTTCTTTTGGAAAACTCTGAATCGCTTTGCAGTGAAGCAAATATCTCCTTTTGTTGAAGCCACACAGAAAACACTTTCACATGCAAATACACCCTCACAACACTCCGAAGTTCCTCTTTTTTTTTTAAAGAACTTTACTCCGGAGCAAACCCTAGAAGGGTGGAGGGGGGGTGAAAAGACCCCAACCCGCTCCACTTTTAAACAAAAGCATTCCAGAAATATCCAAAGGGCGAGTTCCGAGGCATATTTTGATCCTACTGTTGCATTAAAAAACAAAACAATACTATTTGCATTTCGGAATCTTTCTCTCATTTGCTAGTTTTGAATCCCAAAACATTTAGCCCAATCTATGTATGCATAATTAAAGGAGATGCTGTATTATACAATCAATTTTTTCAGGGAATTAGGAGGTTTGTGGGGGGTTTTTTACGATCCTAACAGTACAATCGTAGGCATGCCGACCCAGTTTTTAAATGGCGTTTGTTCCCAGGTAAGCAGGTATAAAAAAAGTTTTTTACAGGACTGTGAGGTGAGGAGGGGGCGCTGGAGGAAGAGGGAGTTTGAGAATCTATGGGGTATTTTAAACGCGCGGTATGAACCAGCACATCAGCATTGCCCATTAAAATTAAGAAATCTCACCCACCCATTAAACGCGCGGTATGAAGCAAGTCCCAACGCATCATCCATTAAAATTAAAATTAAGAAATCTCACCCACCCATTTTTTAAAATCGTTCCCCAACAAATCTGGGATCCCTTAACCCCAGGAATTTCCTTTACTCCCCTCCCCCCAAGAAACTGCTTTTTAACCCCGGAACTGGCACCCTGAAACAATTAAACCACGACCATACCTTTCAACTAACCCGGAGCCGGAGCAACGACGAAGGTCTTCCAGCGACGATCCGCACGCAGCTAAACGCGGAGGTGACTCGATTCAGCTCCTCACCGGCGTGGGCGGGGACAGAATGTTGGCCCGCCGGCTTTGCTACATTGCGGCGCGTCGGAGCCAATCGGGCGAGGGGAGGAATCGAGCCCCAGCCAATGGGGAGCGGCGGAACGCGGCGGGGAACAGAACGTGGCGTCGCGAACTGGTTACAAAGGGAATCAATAATAAACTTAAAAGGGCTGCTTTTTGCACGTGGGTGGCAGGTGGGCGTGGGAGGAGCAGGGAGCTGGGATTGATGCAGGGGCCAGCAAACTTTTCCAGCAGGGGGCCGGTCCGCTGTCCCTCAGACCTTGTGGGGGGCCGGACTATATTTTGGAAAAAAATATATGAACGAATTCCTATGCCCCCCCAAATAACCCAGAGGTGCATTTTAAATAAAAGAACACATTCTACTCATGTAGAAATACTACGCAGGTCCCACAAATAACCCAAAGAGGCATTTTAAATAAAAGGGCACATTCTATTCATGTAAAAACATACTGATTCCCCAACCGTCCAAGGGCCAGATTTAGAAGGTTATTGGGCCAGATCCGGCCCTTGGGGCTTAGTTTGCCTAGTAAAGGTAAAGGGACGCCTGACCATTAGGTCCAGTCGTGACCGACTCTGGGGTTGTGGCGCTCATCTCACTTTACTGGCCGAGGGAGCCGGCGTACAGCTTCCGGGTCATGTGGCCAGCAGGACTAAGCCGCTTCTGGCGAACCAGAGCAGCGCACGGAAATGCCATTTACCTTCCCACTGGAGCGGTACCTAATTATCTACTTGCACTTTGACGTGCTTTCGAACTGCTAGGTTGGCAGGAGCTGGGACCGAGCAACGGGAGCTCACCCCGTCACGGGGATTCGAACCGCCAACCTTCTGATCTGCAAGTCCTAGGCTCTGTGGTTTAACCCACAGCGCGTTTGCCTACCCATGTATTAATGTATTGTCACCAGTGGTTAGTCTGAATGTTTTCTGCTTCTGTACCTGCCCTGGAATTAGTATATTGGTTTTATTTTATAAGATTTGTTGTTGTTGTTGTTGTTTATTTTCGGTTTTATTTTATTTTTTTAAAGAGACACTGGTCACATTTCAGATTAGAAGGCAAAACCTCCAGAGCCCTCTCTGCATGTGGTTTCCTTTCCAGGTAAATTGCAGATCGCTTTTATGTGCTCCTGCTTCGTTAAGGGTCATAGGGTCTAATCAGACACCGAGCCTGAATTACAGTACAGTGGTACCTCGGGTTACATACGCTTCACGTTACAGACTCTGCTAACCCAGAAATAGTACCTCGGGTTAAGAACTTTGCTTCAGGATGAGGACAGAAATCGTGCTCCAGTGGCGCAGCGGCAGTGGGAGGCCCCATTAGCTAAAGTGGTGCTTCAGGTTAAGAACAGTTCCAGGTTAAGAATGGACCTCCGGAACAAATTAAGTACTTAACTCGAGGTACCACTGTATCTGTTTATTTTACAAACCTAGGGCCAGCTTGATTGTAATCAAACCTCAAAGCTGTTTGTGAAAAGAATGAAGTAATAAAAATGTTGGTTCAAACAACAACATCCCAAGCAGTTTAGAAACAAACAAACCAACCTACTTAAAATATTCAAAAATAATTGATATCAACAATAAGCTTTAAAAGCAAGTTGAAGCAAATTAATGTCAACATTCTAGATACCTGGATAAAAAGGTAAAGGTAAAGGACCCGTGACACTGAAGTCCAGTTGCGAACGACTCTGGGGTTGCGGTGCTCATCTCGCTTTACAGGCCAAGAGAGCCGGCATTTGTCCGCTCCGCAGTTTTTCCAGGTCATGTGGCCAGCATAACTAAGCCGCTTCTGGCGCAACAGAACACCAAAACCAGAGCAGCGCACAGAAACACTGTTTACCTTCCCACCGGAGTGGTACCTATTTATCTACTTGCGCTGGTGTGCTTTCGAACTGCTAGGTTGGCAGGAGCTGGGCCAGAACAACGGGAGCCCAGTACGGTCACGGGGATTCAAACTGCTGACTTCCTGATCAGCAAGCCTGAGAGGCTCAGTGGTTTAGACCACAGCACCACCCGCAACCCCAATTAATAGATAGAAAATGGTAAAAAGATGCAGCAAACTTAAATTTAAATATGGAATCCGTGGAGGGAGGGAAGGAGGTCCGAAGGTTCAAAATAACCTTGTATGTGAGGGGTCCAGCTCTGAGGGTCTTCTGGCGGTTCCCTCCCTGCGAGAAGTGAGGTTATAAGGAGCCAGGTAGAGGGCCTTCTCGGTGGTGGCACCTGCCCTGTGGAACGCCCTCCCATCAGATGTCGAGGAAATAAGCAACTTTCTGACTTTTAGAAGACATCTGAAGGCAGCCCTGTTTAGGGAAGCTTTTAATGTTTGTAGTTTTACTGTGTTTTTAATATTATGTTGGGAGCCGCCCAGAGTGGCTGGGGAAACCCAGCCAGATGGATGGGGGTATAAATAAATTATTATTATTATTATTATTAGGTCTGCCACTCATTCCTTATTCAGACATGATGCTGTGTTGCCGAATGACTTCGACCCAGTTGATTCCCCTCAGTCTGGCCTACCGCCCAGGGCTGTTGTGAGAAACAACAGGGGTGTGGTGTACGCTGATGAACTACAGGTCATGATGGCTGCAAGACCATGACTCTGTGGGTTCTTCGCAGGAGGAACGCCCCACCTACCCACACCGCCCCACCAGCAAATACTGATTTGAAACCTGGAAGAATTCCCTGCTCTTCTGGTCCAAATGGATGCAGCCTGGCAGTGGTGACTATGGCAACCGCAGGGCACTGCTTTGAACCACCAGTTTCCATTTGTGTTGCTGGCCTGAGTTACCATGGCAACCCCTCTGCCTCTGTTCCGCTGGTGCTCTCTCTGCAAAGAGGGTGTTGTTGTTGTTTAGTCGTTTCCGACTCTTCGTGACCCCCTGGACCAGAGCACGCCAGGCCCTCCTGTCTTCCACTGCCTCCCACAGTTTGGTCAAACTCATGCTGGTAGCTTTGAGAACACTGTCCCACCATCTCGTCCTCTGTCGTCCCCTTCTCCTTGTGCCCTCCATCTTTCCCAACATCAGGGTCTTTTCCAGGGAGTCTTCTCTTCTCCTGAGGTGGCCAAAGTCTTGGAGCCTCAGCTTCAGGATCTGTCCTTCCAGTGAGCACTCAGGGCTGATTTCCTTCAGAATGGAGAGGTTTGATCTTCTTGCAGTCCATGGGACTCTCAAGAGTCTCCTCCAGCACCATAATTCAAAAGCATCCATTCTTCAGCAATCAGCCTTCTTGATGGTCCAGCTCTCACTTCCATACATCACTACTGGCAAAACCACAGCTTTAACTATACGGACCTTTGTTGTCAAGGTGATGTCTCTGCTTTTTAAGGCTGTCTAGGTTTGTTATCACTTTTCTCCCGAGATGTAGGCGTCCTTTAATTTCGTGACTGCTGTCACCATCTGCAGGGGGCGTACAGAGTCCCATTTTGGACAAAAGGGAGTTGTTTTGGAAGAAACAGAACTCTGACACAACATACCTTCGGGCGCAAGGTGGGGAATTCTGTCGGAAATGGAAGCTGCCACAATAGGCAGCATCGCCAGGCGTTAAAATGCAGGTGAAACATGAATGATGTGTGCTTTGGTCTTGTGAATGTTACACACACAATTACATTATTTTCTGCATTGTTCTTGATATTCCCCTTCCATTCTAATGCACTGAAGCCCTACTCAGAATTGGCCTGTTGAAATGAACGGGCCTGGCTCACTTTGATCTATCGATTCCAATGGGTTTACTCTGAGTAGGACTTAGCTGGGTACGCCTCCAATTCCTTGTGCTCACTTATCTGGGAGTAATCGCCATTGAATTTATAGGGCCCAGTTTCCTAAGAGACCTGTGTAGGATGCTGCTGTGTAAATCAATAAAATAATACTTTTTTAAAAGATGAACTGGACCTGTTTTCCCCTTAATAATGCTCAGAATACCTTCCATTTTATTTTACTATGCAAAAGATGCTGATACAAACATTGCTGAAAATCATCAAATCCATTTCCCTACATTATTTCAAAATTAATCTCACTTTTCCAACAGTGTATACTATTGCAACTTTATAATAGAAAAGAATTTGTCTGCATGGCTCGTACCCAATGTTAGTCCGCCTAGAGGCAGAGGCATAAAGGACACAATTAACGAAGATCCATTAATTTCATTAAGTGCCCTGAGTAGGATTTATTTGGCCACAGCCCAATATTTTTAATATTAACATCTGATAGAATGAAAGGCAAGACTGGTTCTTGGGCGGTTTCCTCAAAATGATCGCTAACGCACAGTGCGATACTATCCAAGTTTACTCAGAAGTAAGCCCCGTCTGGGGCTTACTCCCAGGAAAGCACACACATGATGGCAGTTAGTCATCATCAATCTTTATTGGGTCCAGAGACCCAACAAATTGTTACACAGCAATACACAATGCATACAGCCTACCTCCAGGTTAAACAAGCATTTTGTTCAGAATATAGGGATTACTGGTTCTTGCAACCACTGATAAAAACTTTGCCATTGCTAATGTTCTAGCATTTGTCCGGTCTTCTGATTTTCCTGGGAAAGCTACCAGCAAGGGTAGTATCAGTTCAGCCCTGGCTTGCTCATATTTTGCACAATGCAACAAAATATGTTTTATAGAATGGATGTCTTGAGCACATGAGCAAAGTCTGTCCTGGTAGGGAACTCCTCTCAACACTGCAGAAGGAAAGACGCTTAGTCTGGCTTTGGTGAAAAGCCTTCGATAGTTTGGCACTGTCAGGTTTTTAATGTAAGGTGTTAACTTAAAGACATGCCCATATTGTACTCCTACTGCCAGCGGACTACAGACTGCGTGTGATCGAGATCACAAGTCACTGTGTGCATTATCCCATAATCTTTGCTTTAACATCTTTTGGGCGCCTTCGTAACCCAGGTAATACAGTTGGGGGTGTGTGTGACAAACTGTATTACCTGGGATGGCAGCTAGTAAATTAGCTGTGCTTGTTCGCCACATTTTTACCTGGAAAACAAATAAATCAGTCGTT